CTTGATCGGCAGATAGCGGGTATTGAAAAAACTGAAAGCTGTTTGGATGATAAATGGGTTGTCCACTATTGGGCTGACCAGAAGTAAGCATCACCTGTTGTTGCTTAGATGGAGTGGCATTGGGCCACTAGGCTGTTTGGCGTGGACGTGTCAGACCTGCAGAAAATGGACATTGGGCCGATGGAGGAGGCTATGGAAAAAGACCACGCGGAGGAGGGTAAGACATTGGCCAGGCATAGAACCCTTCTCACGCAGCTGAATGGTGCGAGAAGCCACCACCACTGTTTGAACGACCACCTCGTCTGTTGTCATTCCTCCCACTAGAACGACCAGACCGTCTGCCCCGCTGATTATACCCCCCTCTGTCACGAGTTGATGAGCCACGGTTGGAGCTTGGCTCTTGATTTTGATGTTGGGTGTAACATACACGTTTTAAAATCGTGTTATGTAATTTGAAAAGTTAATAATATTATGAAATATTATGTGAAATTGAGTGTTGTGTTCTAACAGATAGTTTTTACTAGAAATAAAGTAAAACTATGTTTAGAATCACTCATAAAATATTGGAAGTCTTATGAGATTCCAATTAAAAGCCAAATAGTGAAATTTAGCGAAAATATAAAATTTGAAATAAGTAAAATTTTATTATTAAAAGTTGTAGATAATCTCGTTAGAAACATGTAGGCGAAAACCTTGTCGAAATTCGAGTTATAACGAAGAAGTTATGACCAATCGAAGATCCGCGATAAAACCGGCACGGTGCCGAATGACGTAAAAAGTGAGTTTTTGATAAATACTTTTAGCCTTAGTGGTCTAAATGAAAGTCGTAGTATTCGTTAAACCGAGAAGTTCGATAAAAAGAACGCCAAAATCTGACTCCGTATGAGGAAGTTATGATTTTTCTAAGTTTCAGCTTAGCAGTAGACAACTAAAAATTCGAATTTTAGATCGAGTGATTTTTAGCCGACACAACCTAAACGAGAATCGAAGGTCTCGTCATTAGCAGTACAACGGTAAAAAGTCTGACGAAAACGGACGTCGGATGAAGAAGTTATGAATTTTTAACGGATTTACCAGTCCCGGTCTGTTAAAAATAATAATATAAAAATAAAGTAAAAATTTTCCGACGAAGTCTAAACGAAAGTTGTTGAGCATAAGTTTCTCTACGCGTGCATATAAAGAACGTCAAAAACGGAGCACGTATGAGAAAGTTATGGATTTTACAAGATTTGGCACAATTTTCGAGAAATTTCGCATGAGTCATCTTTGGACACGTCACCCTCGCATGCGAGGCTTACACGTGTCGGACATGTGTTCGCTGCTGATTGGACCGCAGTACGCGTGTCACCCGCTGATTGGTCCGAAGTGCTGGCCCGAACCGAAGAGTTGTCGCGTCATCCGACCAATCCGAAGCTCGCAGGTGTCCTTCCGAGCCTCGCCCTGCTGCCAGCTGGTCCGAGCCTCGCATACGTGCCTCTCGCTTCCCAGCCTCGGATCCGAGCCTTCGGACCTACTCCCCTATAAATAGGAGCCATGCGAGCCTTCCCGGGTATTTTGAGAAATTTGCCACTTTCACCACTCTTTTCAATATTTTTACTATCTCGACATCCCCCGAAGCCCCGATATCATTTTTAGCACCCGAAACACGCCCCCAGATTCCCGAGAAGCCCGAAAATTTTATCTTTTCGGTTTCAAAGCTCTACCTTCGCAGAGCCCGGTTTTCAACAAATAAAGTCATATTTAGAGCCGAAATGCTGCACAAATTATTATTTTGACCCCCGGTTATTTCAAGGTGAGTTTAATATATAGGAACAATTATATGTTATGTGTTATATGTGCTATGTGCTTTTCCATGTTATCATCTCGTGTTATTATTTTCGCTATTTTTATAGCAAGGCTGTACCTTTGACCACGAAGTGTATGACATAGGCATCACTTGGGTATTGGTATGAACCGTTGACCATGAAGTGTATGACATAGGCATCACTTTGGCTTCGGTAGTATTCTAAGATAAGGCTGAAAGCCTAAGTATTCTAGCAAAATAATATTCCTGAGTATCTTCCGTGTTATTTTTATTCGTTATTCTTTTTAATAGCAAAAGAAATACCTTTGACCATGTGATCAGTGAAAGGACTTAGATTCATATTGGTACTGGTATGTAGCCTCTGGCCATGTAAAACATGTCTCCGTAAGAGAATGATTTCTATTTTATGGTATTGGCAAAAGGTTAGACAGGGTTATAAGCCTGAAATCTACCAAAATGTTAATCCGAAGTTGTAAATCTTCTGTGCCATTTGGGCCAAAACTTTATTGATTATATATATCAAGTATGGAATTTGTTATGTCTCATATGCCTTTGTTTTTCCTTGTTCCTCTTTGCTTCTGCCATATTGAAGTATATATATGGCATAACGTTATATTGTATAATGTTGGAAGGTTTAGAATAGTTGTAATAATACCTTTTATTTCGGTTTATGTTTGTATAAATTTACAATATCCTGGGTAGTTATGTAAAATATTAAAACATAGTCGGTTTGTATCCAATTTTTTGTAATCACTTTTATCAATGTAAGATAATGTTTTATAAGTAACTATATTTTCAAGTATGAAAGTTTGGGTCTTTCAGAAATATGAAAGTTTAGAAAGGGGTCCTTTCATTGGGTATGGAGGATTGTCGGGGCAGAAGGTGTATCAAGATGTGGGGATTGTACAAGTCGATTATGCTCTTTATTCATCGATCGTTCTTCAAGAGTAAGCATGGAGCGCATCTCCAAGAAGGTCGGAAAAGGTTTTTATGGCGGATCGTTGTAACAATGCGAGAGAACTTTGGCAACAGCTCATTTAAGGCATAGATGACAAGATTTTGTTCGTTCACCGAGGAACCAATATTAGCGAGCAAATCAGATATGGACTTAATCTTAGTGCAGTATTCCATAATAGTTGAGTCTCCAATGGTTAGAGAATGCAGTTCACTGCCCAATTCTATGGCTTTACTTTCTTTATTCGCATGAAAGAGGTCATCAATCGCTTTCCAAACTTCAACAGTAGTGGCATCGGGTACAAGAATGGATTGAAGGACGGATTGAGTGAGAGTCCCATATAACCATTTTTTGACGATGTTGTCAAACTCTTTCCATGATGCAGACTGATCTACGGGCTGTTTTCAGGATGATGAAGACGAGTTATCAAGATGATCGTATGTAGAGTACCCATTGCAGTGTGTTTTGAACAGCTCTTTCCAGGAATCGTAGTTTAACCGATCAAGATCAAGCAAAATAGGGACATAAGATTTGATGTTTGTTATACCATAGATCTTATCCGATAGACCAAAAGAGGGAGTGGAAGAACCTGTGTCTGGCATGATGAAGATGAACATGGGAGAAGATGTTGCGAGAGAAAAAAAAATTGAGTTGGGGCAGTCGACAGGTAAGGATCGGAGGCTAGGTTTAGCATGTATCCTCTGATACCATGTTGACGCATATAATTCCCATGAATTGGCCTTAGGCCATGCATTCCAATATATATATATATATATATATATATATATATATATATATATATATATAGATATAATATATATATATGGGCTTGGTATGAGAACACGGGCTGAATACAAGCCAAGCCTATCTAACAGAATGGGCTATATAATACATACAATATATACGCTAACCATAATGATAAAATGGACAACTTCAAGCATACAAAATGATTGTAATAGGTAACATTTATAATGATTACAAACACAATAGGTCATTACAATTTATACTTCTTAACCACATTATATGGATTCTCGTTGGACAGATGTGGATTATTGTTCATAACTATTGATTGATGCAACTCATTTAATCTCTATTATGGACGGAGCATATATATAGGGCCAGGGGGGCACCCCCCCTAATTATTTTTATATATAGTCCATATATATTGAAAATGTTACATATTATGCCCAAAACTATAAATTTTGACTTTGCCCCCCCTTCCCCTGTTCTTCAATTTTTGTACGTATTCTATTTTCGGCGCCCCCAAATCATAACTTCAAGCTCCGTCACTGATCTCTATGCATTTGAATAAGTCATGACATTTCATGCAATAAACTTGTTAATCTCTCGATTATCATTCCAACTCATTTTTTTCATCTCAACTGTCGACTTACATTTTTGGTAAACGACTATATTCATATATTGTCATATGTAAGTGACGTCGCACTAAGGAGCGGATGACACAATTGAACATTTGGTGGTTTGGGCTAATTAGATGGGCCCAACCCTTTGTAGACTACTAAGTAGTAAAGCATCTTATAGGTCTTAACAAATCCATCAATCTTCTTAGAAGCCCAACTAGTGATCGGTGGCCTAAGGCTAAGAGGTTAAGAGTTAAGACCCATGAAAGTACACTTTTTGTAGACCTTATATCTTCCTTCCTGATCACAATCTATGTCAAATTACATAATTACCCTTGGGATCCTACTTCCTCCCTGTTGCCACCTATGGCCATGGGCCTAAACAAGATTTCTTTTTTGGAAGTTTCCAGGTAGTAATCAAACTCTCACGCACGCACACTCATGACTCACCAATATAAAAGAGGAAAGCTAAAATATCCCTTCAAATCTCTCACTCAACCCCCTTAAACCAAAAAAAAAAAAAAAAATCTTTTTCAAGATTTCTTCAAGCCAATATAACAAAGAAGCATTTAATCCACTCGTCAAGAATGTCAAATTGGGGCTACATGTGAAGTATGATATGGGTAAGCTAAATCTTTAAGATCTGGGTTTAATTGCATTTTCTTTATATTTATTAAAGTGGGTTTCTTGTAATATCAGCTAAACACTATTTGAATAGCTTGTTTATTGAGTTTATGAATTGGGTGTTGATCCAAGAACATGCTCACCAATTAAAAACCCTTTCTTGACACTTCACACCCTTCAAACACACACACAGAAGTTTTCTCCAAGAAAACTCTTCCAAACTTGATGATTGTTGTAGCATTTCATATCTACTAACATGCGCCGGATCAAACCCATCATCAAACAAAACCTTTCTCCTTTTTCTTCTCCTCCCAGTAACCATAAACCTCACTCATCTATAATCTTCGCTAGAAACAGTGTGATTGTATTGGGAGTTGTGTTCGTCATCTGTTGTTTACTTCACTTTCTTGCAAGATACCTCATGAAGAAGAAAAGATCATCATCGTCTTCTTCATCTTCAAACTCTCATCATCAATCTTCAAGATTTCAAGAAAGTAACGATAACGATGATGTCGCCTACGAGAGGCAACTACAACAGCTCTTCCATTTACATGATTCCGGTTTAGATCAAGCTTTCATTGACGCTCTCCCATTGTTTCTTTACAAAGAACTAATGGGATCAAAAGAGCCCTTCGATTGTGCGGTTTGTCTTTGTGAATTCTCAGAACAAGATAAGCTAAGGTTGCTACCTTTATGCAGCCATGCTTTTCACATTCATTGTATCGACACTTGGTTGCTTTCAAATTCGAGTTGTCCTTTATGCAGAGGTTCACTTTTTACCCCTGGATTTTCGGTTGAAAATCCAGTCTTCGACTTCCATGATGATTCAAGGGAAGAAGATGATCATGTGTTAGGGGTATCTTGTAATTTTAAGCAATCTGGAGGGGGGAATGAAAAGTGGGTGTATCCGGTTAGACTTGGCAAGTTTAGAGCCACAAATGGTGAGAAAAGAGACGATACAGAAGTGGGGGAGACTAGTAACAGTAATCTTGATGCAAGAAGGTGCTTTTCAATGGGATCTTATGAGTATGTGGTGGGAAACTCGGAGTTACAGGTGAGATTTTGCCCTAGTAGGGGTAATATTGGAAAAACATATTTGGGTATTGAGAAAGATAAGGGGAATAGCTCAGTTGACGGGGGTAGTGATGGAAAGAAAATTAGTAGTAGAAGCAAAGGTGAAAGCTTTTCTGTATCCAAGATTTGGCTTTGGTCAAAGAAAGATCAACATAAATTTCAAGACTCTTTAGTACCCATATGATTAGTTCTTGATAATGTAAGGTTACCATCAAGAAAGTTGAATCCTAGTAATTTTCATCGTTAGTTTAGTTCATTGTTTATGGTAAAGTGACTTGTACATCATGCTGAGGGAGTTGTACAATTGTTTGAATGTGGAAGTTTGGGCCAAGTAATCATCAAGTGTTGATGATTTTTTTATTATCTTTTTTTCTTGTGATCTTGCTGAATGATTTTGTGTTATTATATGTGACTTGCTTTATTGAACATGACAAAGTGTACTCAAAACACTATATTTTATTACTGAAATTTGCTTCTCTTTCCCTCCCAAAACATTGTGAATATTATTATATTATACCCAATGCAATGCCAAATACTGTCAATTCAGAAGTTTACTTGACCCTTCGATGAAAACCGTATTCCCTCATTTGAGTGGACCGAAATCTCTTTATCTTAGAGATTTAATTTTTTTTTTAAGTATGTATATAAAACTTGGTTGATATGTGGTCCTTATACGTTTGAAGGTACCCTCGGGCGGGGGAGGGGGTAAGGAATCCGATCAAATGATGAAACTTATTAGCTTAATGCAAAATTCGGTGATCTCAATCAAAGGATAAGGGCTGATGCGAATTGGATCTAGGAGGTGATTTCACGGTTGTCTTGGCAAGGCAACTAATTGACAAAAGCCCCCTAGTTGTCAATAATGGCACGGCTACTAAGACCATCTGTAATACATTCAACGAAAGCATTCGTGGTTATGTGGCCACAAACACTGTCCCGGTGTCTCGTTGTGGGTCATGGTTGTGGTCATTTGTTGTACCTTCCACAACCGACAACGACCAATCAATACAATCTTCCTCTTTGACTCGCTAACTAGATGTTTAACGGCTGAAAATTTTAATTTTTTTTTAAATAAATAATCATTATCTATATAAACACAACATTTGAATAAACCTTACCTACATTCAAACCATTCATCTCTTATACACTCTAAAAAAATCATATGGATTTTTTTACAAATTTTGATTCAGATGACGACGGAGAATTTATCTCGACGTCCTTCAATGTTGTGCAACACATACACAATGAAGAACGTACGGATGTTACACGTACAAGAGCGGTTGTCAATCAAAATCTTCAAACCGCACATGAATTATTGGTACGTAATTACTTTGTCGATAATTGGTTTTATAATGATGTGGCGTTCGAACGTAGTTTCTGTCTAAATAGTTACATTTGATTCCTGGTATGTAATTTCACTTATTAAAAATTACTTTTATGGTTGGCCACGACGTGGTGAAGAGGGTACCAAGACGTGGAAACCTTGCATGAAATGTGTGCCCATTTAAGGTCCACGACATGACAAGATGCTTGTCACAACGTGCGGGGTAACTGATGAGCAAAACCCTAACTTTCAGGCTTAGGCCCTATTTAAAGGAAGTGATGGTTAAGGTTTCGTCCACCCTCAGCCTCCAACACCTACTAAATGCACCTTTGACCAAACCCTGGCCTCCTTGAAGCTTTTGGAGCTTATTTTGCAAGTATTGGTGATCTTGAAGGAAGAAGAAAGAAGTTGGTGCATAGATCCAGCAAGCAATCCATCTTCATCCCTAGCGTGCATCTTCTAGACTTCTTGTAAGTCCTAAAGCTTTCATCTTTTTGATGCTTTCTTCTTAGATCTAGGTTTTATATCATGTTTTGCTTCATAAGTGAAGTTGGAATTATTAGAAGAGATAAACTTTGCAACTTTACGGCTCTACATTGTCGCTAGAGCAATATACCTTGTGGATCTAGATTTTGAGGGAGTGTTGGGAGTTTTGCATGAAGATGGATCATCTTCCTTACCATTTTGAGCTAGAAAAGTGGAAGACATGCATGGGTCATGCATGTCTATAAAGATTGGATTTTTATGGACCATTAGGGTCCCTAGATGCACTCTGGAGAGTATGGGTTAAGGGCTTAACGAGTTAAGGATAAAATCCATTAAGTTGTCCATGCACAGAACCCACGACGTGACGGGTTGACTATCACGACGTGGGGAATGAAAGGATTCACAACTGTTTTGGATGGACTCTCCCACGTCGTGGAGGAATGTTTACCACGGTGTGGCGGATGATTTATACGCGACTGAGTTGGGCCGTGACTGAGTTTCTGGCCAAGACTGAGTTCATTGGCCACAGCGTGACCATAAGTAGGCCACAACGTGGAGATCAACTTATCATTGACTTTTTGGACTTGGTTGACCTTTGGTTAAATTGCTAGTTTCATAGTGTGGTCTAACGTTTGACCTTAGGTGTTTCAATAAGTGGGTTGTAGTACCTGTTTCTGGACTTTTCGAGTTGTGTTTGTTTGACTGTGAGTGTTAGGTGAGTTTTCTCACTATACTATGTAGGATGTTAATTGTCTTTGTGATACTTACATTGAAGACCATGGTTTGGATCCTGACATCTGTATGAAAGACCAGAGCTAGGCCCCTGGCAATTGCATGTAAGACTAGGGTTTGACCTGTGGCAATTGTATCGCAGAGCAAGCTCTAGCCTGTAACGTCCCAAAATTAAGACCAAAAATTTTTGTTTTTAAATTAATAAAACTATTATCCAATACATCATCATAAAACCATGGTGGAGCAAAGTGTATCAACTACATGATAAAACATAAGAGTATTCATAAAAAATGCGGAATGAGGTGGTGTGTGCACTGCAGTCATCCCGAGCTCTTCCCTTTGGAACCAGAAGTACCTGAAACATAAACTGAAAACTGTAAGCACAGAGCTTAGTAAGTTCCCCAGAATACCACGTACCATACATATCAAACATATAATGGGCCCTGCCCGGCATCGAGCCCCGCTCAGTATACAGATCTGTCAGTCATCGGGCCCCGCCCAGCATCGGGCCCCGCCCGGTATACATATAAACATATAAACACATAAACACATAAAACATGCAATAATCACAAAGATAAATGGCATACAGAATGGTCATCGGGCCCCGCCCGGTAAACATACAAACACATAGCATATGCAAGAGTCATTCAGAAATCTAGCATCCTTAACATAACAAACCATGGGCCGGCATTGGTACCTTCGACCCGCTAAACACAGTAAGGAAACTCACCTCTAGCTGCTGAAACACTCAAATGAATCTCTGTCTGCTGGTCCGGAAATTCGCCGCGCTATCATCACAAAACAATATCCAATTAATAATTGGATCTTGACCCGCAATCAAGAATCTAAGTTGCTTAGCCCATAACCAGGGTAAAAGACCATTTTACCCCTTTTCTAACTTGGCCTAAAGCCAAGGCCCAACCCAACTACTCAAAAGGTCCAAATCCTAAATGGGAACCCCAATTATGGCCCAATCTTCCAAATTGGGCCCAAAACCCAAAATCAGAAGTCTAATGGCCCAATAAGGCCCAAAGTCAACGGTCCAAACTCCAACAGTTGGTCCTTATGTCGTGACCAGCTCATGATCACGTCGTGAGCACCAACTCGACTGTAACATCCATAAAAAATCATGCCAAATTTAAACTTTTTTTTAAAACATTTCAAATCCTATGATTATTACAAAACTTGTTTTCAAAATAGTATATTGTCAGAGCATCCCAGAATCAAAAACATAAAATCATAAAGTGTGAGGAGCGGTACGATCACACCTTCGCCTTCCCGCGATCATCAGAAGTACCTGAAACAATAATCGATAAATGTAAGCTCGAAGGCTTAGTGAGTTACCCCCAAAATACCAACGCCATAAACATATCAATAACATATAAACAAACAGCATGCATAATGAGCCTTCAGCCTGACTGGACCGCCTCGCGTGCCTCCTCGGCTGTCAGCTGAAATGCCCGGCTCTTCACCACCGGAGCCTCTGCCTTGCCCTGCCGGCCATCTGTAATCCGCAGGGTCGCTGGAGCTGGCGCCTGTACTGGCGCTGCTGCTGTCAACTGGGGGCAGTTGGCCCTCTTGTGGCCCCTCTGGTTGCAGTGGAAACACAGCAACTCAGATGTCTGAATAACCGGAGCAGGGGCAGTACAATCCCTGCTGAAGTGTCCTGTCTTGCCGCACCTGTAGCAGCCTGTCGATCCTAATCTATACGCTCCCTCGTGCGACCTGCCGCACTTCCTGCAGCGGCCCGGTCCTGAATGGCCTTTCGGCCTACCATCTGATCCCTTGGGCTTCTTTCCCGAAGCCCCTATCGTCTGTCCCTCCTCTGCCTTCCTCTTCCGGATGTGCTCCAGATCTATCTCCCTCTCCCTCGCCCTAGCAATCACAGATCCAGGGTAGGGCAAGCTGAAAAACTGACATGCTCCCGAATGTCGGCTCGCAGCATGTCATGGTAGCGGGTCCTCCTCATATCCTCATCACCTGCATACTGGGGCACCAGTAACGCCCTCTCCCGAAACTTGGCGGTGATCTCCGCCACAGTCTCCGTCGTCTGTCTCATATCCAAAAACTCTCTGGCTAACTGCTGGAGTTCCACTGCAGGTGCGAACTCCGCTCTGAACCGGGTCACAAAGTCCGGCCACGTCATAGCCTCAACAGCCGATGCTCCCAATGAGTCACCAACAGACTCCCACCAATCCCTAGCTCGGTCTCTCAAACATCCTACTGCATACCTCACCTTCGACCCCTCGGGGCAGAAGCTGATCAGCTGCGCAGACTCAATGTCTGCGATCCATCGTCTGGCCACAATGGGGTCCTTCGCCCCATGGAAATCCGTCGCACCGCTGCTCCTGAAGTCCTTGAAGGACAGTGTGCGAGATCCTGACTGGCTAGCCGCCATATCACTCCTGAACGCCCTGAGGCGATCCTCCATCAACTCAACAATACCCTCCTTGATCGACCCGAAGATGAGGGGAGTCGACTCAAGGATGCCCCTGGTAATCTCTGACGCGATGAACTCGCGTAGACCCTCATCAATTGGTTCGGACCCTGAACCCGAACCCGATCCCGATCCTGAGCCTCCCGCTCCCTGTCGTGTGGTCACCATACTGAAAAACATAGCATAACCACCATCAAACGATATT